GAGCTTGGTCATTTGTATCAGTCAGATCTTTCTGCTTTAGTTACTTGATTTTATTCATGCAGATGGTTAAATTCAGTCTTTCTTAATCCCAAATAATTTAGCTTTTATTTTTCATTAAACTTTGTCAAGGAATTGTATTATTCACTCCAGTTAAATAAATGGAGATCGATTGAATTCACTCAGTCGGTATTTTATTTCATCTTTGCAAAGAGAGAACAGGACATCAAACAGCCCTTATTGCATGGTAATCAGCCCTGTATGGATCTAGACAGAGTTTGCCTTCCCTATTTACAATGATGGAGATGGTGAAGGTTGTTTCAAAGTTCAAACACCCCTCTACCCAAAACAAAAAACAAATACAACAATACAGAGTCTAAATGTTTTGAGAACTGATTCATATTATGGCCAAACACTCCCTAACTGTCATGACAGCCCATAATGTAGGACCCTGTATTCAGATGAGGCAGACAGTGGAATAAATCAAAGGTGTTTAGTTGAAAACATGAGATACGTGGAGCTGTGGATCTGCAGCAGCTGTGCTTCACCCATCACTGGATACCCTGGTGGAGAAAAACACAGGTAAGTGACCATGATAATCTGGCGGAGGATGATTATCTTATCTTATCCTGATTACCTACTTTGACAGTTCAGTTCATATTGAAAGAACATGGTAGAATCCAGTCAGAGGGCTGCCACCTACATGCGACAGGCACTGCCCAGACTGTCCCCGATATTGCAGTCCCAGAGGGCAAGCATGATTCTGAGCCAGGTCAGGGGAACAGAACAGAACAGGAAGGCTCAGAGGTCAAGGAGTCCGTAGCCTGGTACGCTAAAAACTCACTCTCTCTACTGAGCCAAGACAGGAACAGGGCACGCTCAGTGGATAAGAGACAGAAATTGATCAGGAAAACAGGAACAAAAGGAAAAAGTAAAAAAACATCTCTGACCGACCACTGGCCCCCTGAGAATGAGAACATGAACTTTGGCATCAGCAATGATCTCCAGCAAAAACTCAATGATATGGCCCGATAGCTGGGACTGAGCCATCTATAAAAAGGCAGAAGCTGGTGGATTACATGGGTGATAAATTAAAAACAGGGCAGGTGAAAGAACTGAGCAATTAGTGCAGCTCTCAGACCCATGATCATGACACTAATTGGATAAACAGCCCCCTCTCTCTTAGACATGTTGTGGCCTTGGAGCTCTGAGGCAGATGAATAAAACTCATATATTTATATATGATAGAAACATTTACACTGTGCGCATACAGTTATTATTATTACTTTCCTAATCCCTGACTGCTAATTTTTAATGTAGCGTGTATTATAGTATAGATTAAATTCATCATCCAGCTGCTGCTCTGCAGAATTATCTCCCCAAGAGCTGAATCACGCCATGTAACATAAAATCATGCGGCTTTTTCAAATCAGGCGCGAATGTGTACAAAACAACAAAGATGGTGCCGGCAACGCTTGTGGGTTTTTTTCTGTGAATGTCGGTGATTTTAAAGTAATTTTGAGTGATAAATATATCTTATTTTTTTTTTGCGATCATTGCACTTGCCCGGCGGCAAATGCAATAATATTTGTACTCTCCCGACAATAAAAACTATAATAAAAACGATCGGGCAATGGTTAACATCGAGCCCTGTATATATACACTATATTGCCAAAAGTATTTGCTCACCTGCCTTGACTCACATATGAGCTTAAGTGACATCCCGTTCCTAATCCATAGGGTTCAATATGACGTCGGTCCACCCTTTGCAGCTAGAACAGCTTCAACTCTTCTGGGAAGGCTGTCCACAAGGTTTAGGAGTGTGTTTATGGGAATTTTTGACCATTCTTCCAGAAGCGCATTTGTGAGGTTGCACACTGATGTTGGACGAGAAGGCCTGGCTCTCAGTCTCCGCTCTAATTCATCCCAAAGGTGTTCTATCGGGTTGAGGTCAGGACTCTGTGCAGGCCAGTCAAGTTCATCCACACCAGACTCTGTCATCCATGTCTTTATGGACCTTGCTTTGTGCACTGGTGCACAGTCATGTTGGAAGAGGAAGGGGCCAGCTCCAAACTGTTCCCACAAAGTTGGGAGCATGGAATTGTCCAAAATGTCTTGGGATGCTGAAGCATTCAGAGTTCCTTTCACTGGAACTAAGGGGCCAAGCCCAGCTCCTGAAAAACAACCTCACACCATAATCCCCCCTCCACCAAACTTTACACTTGGCACAATGCAGTCAGACAAGTACCGTTCTCCTGGCAACCGCCAAACCCAGACCCGTCCATCAGATTGCCAGATGGAGAAGCGCGATTCGTCACTCCAGAGAACGCGTCTCCACTGCTCTAGAGTCCAGTGGCGGCGTGCTTTACACCACCGCATCCGACGCTTTGCATTGCACTTGGTGATGTATGGCTTGGATGCAGCTGCTCGACCATGGAAACCCATTCCATGAAGCTCTCTGCGCACTGTTCTTGAGCTAATCTGAAGGCCACATGAAGTTTGGAGGTCTGTAGTGATTGACTCTGCAGAAAGTTGGCGACCTCTTCGCACTATGCGCGTCAGCATCCGCTGACCCCGCTCCGTCAGTTTACGTGGCCTACCACTTCGTGGCTGAGTTGCTGTCGTTCCCAAACACTTCCATTTTCTTATAATACAGCTGACAGTTGACTGTGGAATATTTAGGAGCGAGGAAATTTCACGACTGGATTTGTTGCACAGGTGGCATCCTATCACAGTTCCACGCTGGAATTCACTGAGCTCCTGAGAGCGACCCATTCTTTCACAAATGTTTGTAAAAACAGTCTGCATGCCTAGGTGCTTGAATTTATACACCTGTGACCATGGAAGTGATTGGAACACCTGATTCCAATAATTTGGATGGGTGAGCAAATACTTTTGGCAATATAGTGTATATATATATATATATATATATATATATATATATATATATATATATATATATATATATATATATATATATATATATATATATACCTACATAATGATGGATGGATGGGAATTAATAGGAGATAGATTTTTTCCACCGCACCTTTACAAGTGAATGTGACAGACACAGTTTAGATTTAATCAAATTAGGATTTACCAGATGTGATGCCTCTCATTATCATGAAATTTACATAAAGTTTAAAGAAAATAATTTAATGTAATTCTTTTTGAAGATAAATTCAATTCTATTCAGTTTATTTCTATAGCTCCAATTCACATCATGTCATCTCAGGTCACTTTCCAGTTCACCAGATCATCCAGTCATATTGATTCAAAGTTTTCTATCTAAGGAAAACCAGCTGATTGCATCGACTCATTGACTCTTCAGCAATCCCTCACACTAAGCATGCTTGTAGCGACAGTGGAGAGGAAAAACTCCCTTTGAACAGGAAGAAACCTCCAGCAGAACCAGGCTCAGTGTGAGCGGCCATCTGCTGAGGCCCACTGGGGTTCAAGGAGACAGAAGCAGACATAGAAAAAGAAGCATAGATACAAAAGGCAACTGTCAACCAGCTCCACAGGCGGCCCCGTCCAGGAAACACACAGCCAGGCAGACGAGCTCCGAGCCAGCTCCCATGTCAGAGGATGAAGAGAGCACATCCAGTTAGTCACAGTCAGAGAAACAGGACTACACTGGAAAACAGGCCAAGCTCCAACATCTAGAAACAAAGGTGTTGATGGCAGCAGCACAGCTGATATTTCTCTCCAGGATGGAGTCACAGCCAAACAGGAACAGACCAGATGAAGCTACTATGAGAAAAAGCAGAGAGAGCAGAACGTTAGAGCAGTTATTTTCAATCCTGGTCCTCAAGGCGCACTGCTCTGCATGGTTTGGATGTTTCTGAGCTTCAGCACACCTGATTCAGATGATTGTAGTTCAGCAAAGCCTGATAAACTGCTATCAATTGATAGCGTTCAAAGGCGTTAGAGATTGAACTAACAGATCATAATCTCTGATATCAGATGGAGCTTGGCCATTTAAGGCTTTATATGTGAGAAGGAGGATTTTAAATTATATTCTGGATTTAACAGGAAGCCAATGAAGAGAAGCCAGGATAGGAGAGATATGATCTCTCTTTTTCATTTTCATCAGAACTCTGGCTGCAGCATTTTGGATCAGCTGAAGGCTTTTAACTACAGTTTGTGGACTTCCTGATAGTAAAGAATTACAATAGTCCAGCCTTGAAGTAACAAATGCATGGACTAGTTTCTCAGCATCACCCCTGGACAGGAGATTTCTAATTTTTGCAATGTTCCTCAGATGAAAGAAGGAAATTCTAGAAACCTCTTTGATCTGGGATTTAAATGACAGGTCCTGATCAAAAATAACACCAAGATTTTTTACTTTATTATCTGAAATCAGTTTAATCCCATCCAAATGAAGTGACTGACTAATCAGCTTCTTTTTCAGAGACTCTGGTCCAAAGACTATAACTTCTGTTTTGTCTGCATTCAGAAGCAGAAAGTTAAGAGTCATCCAGGTTTTTATGTCTTCAGACATGCCTGTAATCTATGTAATGGGTTAGCTTCATCTGGATTATAGACAGATATATAAAAACATCATTCTTATTTTTATTTAAATAACTATCAAATATATATTTTCCTTGCTTCCAGAAACTGTTATGTAAAATGATGTCTTTCAAAGATGGATCAATAAAGACTTATACTACATATTCATATTAATATATTATAAAAATGAACTGTTAAGAAACGTTAAAGGCCTAAAAGGTGTTTGAAAGTCCAGCTCTTCCGGGTTTAAAGGAGCTTTATTAAAAAGATTTAATTATTTATGGTTATCGATTTTCTGCTTTATCTCTTCAGTGGAACTTTGACCTTTGATGTTAGCATTGGTTGCGTGTCATGGAACCTGTAATTAACATACTTTCTCCTGAAGTCATACATTCCTAACCTGAGGGGATTAAAATATTTGGCACATTGTCAGGTGCTTGTTTAAGATAAAGCTGCGCTGGTGCTGCTTGTCATTTCTGACAAGAAGCACATGCATCCATTTACAATGCTTCGACTCTCTGGGCTCCTGCTGGCGGTCCTGCTGTTTGCGGTGAGTCCACTTTAAGTCTGTTTAGATTGAAGATACTTTAACAACAAACTTCCTGATCCTTTCTGTTAATAACTTGCATTTTAAGTTTGCAGTCAGAGCAAAGGGACTGGTATCAGCCAAATTCCAGTTTCAGATTTTTGTTTACTGATTTAAAGAACCACAATTGACTGTCCCCAAAAATTCTGTTTAGTTAAAAAAAGATGCGATCATTATTAAGTGATTGTACTATGGATCGCACGTTTAATCACATCAAGGCAAGGCAAGGCAAATTTATCTGTATAGCACAATTCAGTACAAAGACAATGCAAAGTGCTTTACATGATTAAAATATAGGAAAATAAAACAGAATCAAAGCAAGTAGGAAAAATAAATAAATAAAATAAAATAAAATAAAAAATGCAGAAACAAAAAAGAACATTAAAAACAGTTGGACTAAAGAAAATAAAAAAGTTGAACTAATGATGTTTCAGTTGAACTGTTTAACTAGAACAGTGGAAGGCGATCCTAAACAAATGTGTTTTTAGTCTTGATTTAAAGGAACTCAGGCTTTCCGCACTTTTCCAGTTTTCTGGAAGTTTGTTCCAGATAAGTGGAGCATAGGAACTAAATGCTGCTTCTCCATGTTTAGTTCTGGTTCTAGGTCTGCAGAGCAGGCTGGAGCCAGAAGACCTGAGTGGTCTGGAGGGTTGATTCACTGATAGCAAGTCTGTGATGTATTTAGGTGCTAAGCCATTCAGAGATTTATAGACTAACAGAAGGATTTTAAAGTCTATTCTCTGAGATACAGGGAGTCAGTGGAAGGACTTTAGAACCGGGGTGATGTGCTCTACTTTCTTAGTGTTAGTGAGGACACGGGCAGCAGCGTTCTGGATCAGCTGCAGCTGTCTGATCCACTTTTTAGGCAGACCTGTGAAAACACCGTTGCAGTAATCAACTCGACTAAAAATAAACGCATGGATTAGTTTTTCCAGATCAGGCTGAGACATTAGTCCTTTAATCCTGGAAATGTTCTTCAGGTGATAGAAAGCCAACCTTGTAATTGTCCTTAAATGCTTTTGGAGGTTCAAGTCTGAATCCAGCACTACACCTAGATTTGGGGCCTGATCAGTGGTTACTAGCTGAAGCGACTGAAGCTGTGTGCTAACTTTAGATCTCTCCTCTATTGGTCCAAAGATTATTACTTCAGTTAGATATCAGATATCGCTTCCTGCAGAAGCTCTAAAGGTATCTATACGCAGGCTGAATTTGTTCTGAACCTCATCAGCTTTTTCTAGCAGTCACAGTTATTTATTTCTTATTCCCTGGTTTGTTCAAATAATATTATAAAAGGACTTTCTAGGGAACATTTGTCTCTATTTGACATGGAAACGATTGAACTTATCATAGAGGCAGAGTTGGCAACTGCTTGGGGCCCCTATCAGCATGTGGCCCTACCAGTGAGGGGCCGCACTGGTGGCCCTCCACACTAACAACACCTCTGGGATGAATTCAGTGCAAGGACAATTCAGAGTGCTTTACATGAATTAAAGTATAAAATAGATGGAAAATAAAAGCAGTAAAAAGCAAATAAAGATAAAACATGATTAAAGCAGGTAGTGAAACCAATCAAACAATCACAACCTTAAAATCATGATTCTAAACTTATGGCTTTTAAACGCAGACTTCAAAGAACTCAGGCTTTCAGCTCTTTTCCAGAATCAAAGCAACGACAAAAGTAGAAAAAAACAGACCATCAACTTCTGCTCCCATTTTCTCTTCCTCTGGTGTGGATGTTCATCAGTTAAACATCCAGAGGTGCAGTATGTCGCTGAGTCAAGCAGGAGAGACTCACAGAGAGAGAACGGTCAGACAGAGCTGAGAAAATAACCTCCATGATTGAGATCTCACACGATAAGACTTCTAGATGTCCTTTAAAAACATGCACTATATATCTATATATCTATAGATATTTAAAACCAATCAGATACGTTTATGTTGCGCTCCTCCAAAACCTGGTAATGAGTGAGAAGAAGAGACAGAAAGTGGCACGGTAAAGGACAGCTAAGAGAAAAAGACTGACAAAGACTGACTGGTGGTTGGTCAGTCGTTGGCACAAAGGTGTCAGCCATGAAACATTACCTGGAATGATTCCTTCAAGGTGGGATGATCTGAGAAACAAGGTTTTCCAGGCAGCATGGAGCTGATCCCTGGCTGATCTCAGATTATGGAGAAAAATCACTGAAGCAGCTTCAGGCAGAGAGGACTTCATTTTTTTTTTACTGCAGTAGTGGCTCATTTTTTCAACAGTAGGCTGACAGGAAAGAGGGTAAGAGAGACGGGGAGAGACATGCGGCAAAGGACTACAGGTCGGATTCCATACATGGGTCGAGTGCGCTAACCTCTGCGCCTCCTGCACGCCCAGAGTCATTCATTCTTGATTATCTTTTTTTTTCTTGATTTTATCTTTTTCTGTCCCATTTAGCCAATCTAGCTCTAGGAATAGATGTCCCACAGCTAGATGCTAGCTGATAGCCCAATAGCTTTGCTTTCACAGGCAGACCAGCACGGCTGCTGCCATAAGGTTCATATTGGAACTTATATATTAAACTACATTGAACATTATTTAGGGAGTAAAATTGTAAACAACAGAGACGGAAAGGGAGGAGTGAGAGAGAGGGGGGGGGGTGAGAACTAAGGGGGGAGAGAGAGAGAAGATAGAGTGACAAAACATCCAAAATAGACACAGAAGATCTAGAGTAACTCCTAGAAGTCTGCTACCACATCTGGATGAGACGACAGGAACAGAAAACAGAGAACAGCAAAAAGAAGACAACAGAGAACCAGAGTAAAGATCAGAAAGCTTCCAGAGCAGCAGGTATCCCTCAGATATCCACGTGTGTGGAAGGAAAACCTGTGGTGATTCCACAATATTAATCAGGGTGGGATAGATCTGTAGCATCAGATTAGCAGTTATCATCACTGTCAATCTGTGAACACCTGGAACCAAATGCATGAGCATGCAGGTACAAAAAGCTTCTTCAGAGGGAAAGTATTATTAATAGGAGGTGTGGGCGGCCCCAGACTCGCCCTACAGGGCCCTGGACCAATAAAGAGGCGATCCTGGCCCCAGAGATTGATTGATTGATTGATTGATTGATTGACTCTATTGATCTCAGAGTGGAGAAATTTACTCGTTACATCAGCTATAACAGTGAAAAAGAGAAGAAGAAGGGGCCAAAGGAAGAAGAAGGTGCATGGGGGGGGGGGGGGTATATACAGTGTATTCAGTTCGTTCACATATGACAGCTGAAGTCTCTTATTTAGCTGGATTATTATACAGGGTTATTGCAAAGGGTATTAATATATCCAGAGGGGCCCCAGATCACTGGGACACTAGGCGGGCAGACATAAGGCTGGCTGGACTCACAGGAGAAGAAAAAACCGGGGGGCCTGAACCCCAAGGGGCCAATTTCCAAAGGGGCCCAACCCTGGAGGCCATACAGCCGGGGTCCCAGGGGGCCACAGCAGCGAGGTTCATGCCCGAGGTGGACCTAGATGAGAGCCCCAAGGTCCGGGAGCGCGCCACCCCCCCAGTGGAAACCCCACAGGGCCAGGAGACCCAGGCCCGTGCCAGCAGCCACTAGTAATGAGACAGCGCCCTCTGAAGTACCTAACCCCGCACCTAGAGCCCGTCAGCGCGCCAGCAGACACCTGACGCTGGCGGGGAGCCAATCGTTGATTAAGTTTAAACACCTGTGGCAGAATTCACTGGAAAGAACCGTTTCTCAGGAACCGCAGTGATTAGGAGCTATTATATGAGACAAGAAAAGTCTGAGAGAGCAGCTCAGCTCTAATTAGCATCCTTAGATTTAGATTCCTTATCTCTCATTAATTATTTTTTATCTTTAACAAACTGACTGCAGCTCGCAGCCTCAACCATTTTATTCAAACATTAAACATTATTTTAATATTTTAATCAGTGAATATATCTGAAATACTACACATAAAGATGGTGTTTCAGTAGAACGGTGCCGTTTTCTTACGTGGCAAAGATCTCCTTTCTAACATGAGCAGCCTGGTGGGTCGCTCTGTTCAAACTGAACCCCGTTTAGCTCAAAGATCCACAGAGATCGCAGCTCCTGCTTATGAACCTTTTCTCCTAGTGTGACAGATCACACTATGCTTCAGCATCTAATAAAGTAGATCTATTATTACCGCTTCATATGAAGTGAGATTAAGGTCAGAGAGGAACCATGATCCGGCCTCAGTCACCATCTGTGCGTATCGGTACGATGGGTGGCGTGAGGAGAACGCTTTCCTTACCGACTGATTTATGAAAACGACCCCAACAGCGACTGTCTTCATCTAATTGTTTGTTTCCACAGGTTCAGGCTGCTGTTTTGGTAAGATCTCATTCTGGAGTTCATCTGCTGCGGCATAAACGAGCGTGGGTTATCCCTCCCACCATACTGAGGGAAAATGTGGACTACACCCAAAAGGAATATATTTCCAGGGTGAGGAACACTGAAAATGTCACTGAGAGAAACCCTGGATGTGTTGGGGCATGAGAGACTGAACTTTGACCTGGTTAGTGAAATTATGTTTCTGAATGTTTGACTTTAAAGACATTTTGATCAGGCAAGTGCAAAGTGGTCCCTTCCATAAGCAGACCCAAATAATCAATAAATAAGGTCAATATGAGAGCTCCGCTCCAGCTCCTGTGTTTTCATAACATTCTCACTTCTCCTCTTCGACGTAGTCTAATCGGTCTTTTTCTGTTTCAGATCCGATCCGATCCACCTGATCAGCCTGGAACTGAAGTCAGGTACGAATTAAAGGGCAAAGGAGCAGATCAATATCCATTCCATGTGTTCGTGGTTGATGAGAAGGGACTTGTTAGAGTGACCAAAGTGCTTGACAGGGAGCAGATTCCCGTCTACGAAGTAAGTCTGCAGCCTTTGTCCTGTTCAGCATTGATGTGGTTTTACCCATAATGACATAGAGCTGGTTGGTTTTAGTGTTCAAACTGTTCCTACAGGTGATGATTTATTGAGGTGTTGTTGTAAAGATAGAGATCATATTTCAGCTGCTATTTTCCTCTAAGCCTGTTTTAACAGGCTTAGAGGAAAATAGCTCATGTGTTTTCTAATGTTTGCACCGCTCACATGGTTGAAGTTCTTGTTTGAATTTCACGGTGGTTTAATTTTAAATGAAGTTTTTTTTAGAAGCGCTGAAAATTTAGTTTAATTAGTGTAATAATTCATGCATTACTCTATTGTACATGGGTGAGTAAAACTCTGACCTGGTTGACTGGGAATCCTCACCAGAAAGAATAAAAATGCTGCTAATTGCTGCAGTTTCAGAATAATTTTTGAGCGGTAAGATTGCAGAAACAGGGTCAGGTCTCTGTTACGCTGCAGAGGTCAAGGTGCTCACTGTCTCAGTCCTACAGCGTTTGCACAACACCTGTAAACATGACAGAAATAACAACATTATGAATAATCTTTTGTTTAGATCACAGCTATTGCCAGACACGAAGATGGCAGCGAAGTCCATGAGAATATTACACTTCAACTTAAGGTTGAAGATGACAATGACAATCCTCCCAGGTTTGATTCATCAATGAAAGCTGAGGTGGATGAGTGCATTCCTGAAGGTCAGTGTGGCAAACATTAAACTCATAAAACAATGAAGCTAATTGTTTTTAACTGTGATTGAATTTATTATTTTTTAGGATCTTAAACAACAATAAGCTTTCAAACTATTTGAACATATTATTGTTCCACTCATTGTTATTGTTGTCGCTTAAATAACATCAACTGGAGGAAAATCTTTTTGACTTTGTTGCATCTGAACCTGTTTTCTCAGGGACTTCAGTCCTACAAATCAAGGCCAGTGATGCAGATGATCCAGAAACACCCAACGCTCAGATTGCCTACTCCATCATAGACCAGAAACCACATGACCATTTTCAGATGACCAAGGACGGCCTGATCTATGTCGATTATCCTCACTTGGATAGAGAAGTAGGAGCTTCACCAGCTGTTTACTTCCTTCTTCTAAACATTATAGCCTTTCATCATATTAGCTGTTTTAATTGAAAAAAGATCAGAACTCTCACCAAGATCCTCTACTGCAGTATTTAGAGCAATTAAGACGTACAAACTCGTTAGCATACACAAAGCCAATCTTCAAACCAAGTGTGATTCATAGTTTATTTCTAAACTGAGTGGAAAAGCCCAGAAAGATCTTTTTGTTTGTGTTTTTTGAGTTAGCAGATCTTATTCTGATGAACAAACCAAAACATTTAAAGAACATGCAAACTAAACCTCACCATTTATTAAAGCTGGAGCAGATGGGGGGGGGCATTTTTTGTTTTGGCATTTAGTGCGTTTACAAGTCAATTGATTTCCACAATTGTGAGTCATTTCTTCTTGTTGAAGGGCATTTTTCCTCTCTACTGTCTCTGCATGCATGCTCAGGGTGAGGGATTGCTGAAGAGTCAATGACCCAAACCCCCCTCTAACCATTAACCCTTAACTATCAGTGTCACTCCCAGTAAAGTCTCACTTGCTGCTGTAGAAGGCGCCTAGATTGAAGGTGGGTGTTATAAATGTGAAGTAATGGCCCCATCCCTCCAACGGAAGAGGAAAGCATGCGTTGCTATGGCAACACAGTGACGCTTTATGTGTAGGGCTGTACATCACATTAAACATTTGTCCCTTTCAAATGTTTATGGTCGTCAAAATATTTTAAAGAGGACCTTCCATATCTCATAAACTAACCTGTGATTTTCTGTCAGTGTGACGAAGATGCAGGAAACCAGCAGAATGTATATCTGGAGGTACGCGTTTCCTCTGTCATCAGGCCGCTGTTACACCAGCTGGAAACATAAACCTTTAGCACCTAAATTACTCCCACAAGTTACAGTGGAAACGTTGACCTAATTCTGCTTATGCAGTGCCGACAGCAGACTAAGAGAAAACCAAAGTACCTAATCCCGTTATTAGAAAGGATGAAGACAGTATAGCTAATCCCCACAGGCCAGAGAGGACAGGCTTGAACATGCAGCCTGCAGTAAAGACCAGCTGAGCTGAAAAGGGACGCCCAGGTGTTCAGGCAGAGAGGTGGAGAGAGCTGGAGGGAAGGAATGCTGGGACCAGGCATAGTAGGGAGAAAATATGATTTATTACAAAAATAAATGTCAAGAAAACTCAGCAAACAATAACAAGAATATTCACTGGAAATTTAACAAAAACTACACAAAAGCACATAATAACTCTTTTTCCCTTGGTATGCATTGATTTGGGGGTTTATTTGACTTTCTGCAGCACTCTGAGTGAAACACTCGTCTTCATTAGGCTCTATCTGCTATATTCCTTTCAGGAAGAAGATACATACATTCTAACAGTGACTGCTGCAGATCTATACGGCGCACCAGGGGGACACACTACAACAGGCACCGTTACTATCACACTTAACGATGTCAACGACAATCCTCCAACTCTGGAAAAATCTGCAGTAGGTGTTTGGTTTCAGTGAGAACATGTTGCTTTGAGGTTTCCTAGAGTTTGTCATAACTTTGGTGCACTGGTTTGCTGTGTCTATGTTACAGCTTCTATATGCATGAACTGGTTGAATTGTCTGTAAAAAGCCTTCAGAGAATGTGTGCTATAGAAAGAAGCTGAATTGACTCCTGAACTTCCTGTTTCCTTTTTTAACTTAAAGGCCTTGTTTGGTTTGTAGGTTTCTTTATATTTATGTTATAATCTGGATTACTGACGCTGCCTCTATCCACTGATGAAGCCCCTCCAGACTGACTTGGTTTTGCTGGTCGGCTTGAGTCCAACTTTCATTTCTGGGTATTTATTTTAGGACTTAAATCTACTGAAAAATAGCTAAATAATAGGATAGATGATGATGATGATGATGATGATGATGATGATGATGATGATGATGATGATGATGATGATGATGATGATGATGATGATGAGAGAAAAGTTTGACAGCCACTCAGCCAGCATGCTAACTGGTATCCATTAAATCAGGTAACAGGAACCCTGCGACCGCCACTACCCTCCAATTACGTGTCGAGAGAAAACGGAATAAAAAATAACAGAAACAGGAAGCCTGGCTCTGTCTCATTGCCAATTGACTTTGACCCACTTCTTCTGCTATTGGGGGTGGGGGCTGGTGTTTGGGACATGTCACCAGCACTGTGGGTGACTTTTTCATACTTAAGATGTGAAGGGATAAGCAACCCTGACCTGCTCACACATTGAAGCTGTGATGAACAAACGAATGAACCATCACATTGTTCTGTGTGTGTTTTTCAGTATGAAGGAAGCATTGAAGAAAACACATTTGGTGTTGAGGTGATGAGGATCAAAGCACAGGACAACGACCTCGACAACACGGAAAACTGGGAGGCTGTTTTTGACATTGTCAAAGGGAATGAGGATGGATATTTCAGCATAAAAACTGATCCCAAAACCAATGAGGGCATCTTAATGCTTGAGAAGGTATTGTACTATTATATACTAGTATATTATATACTTAAGGCTGTACAGATAAGCCCCAAGTATTGAAAAAGCCTAGCAAAAATAGGACACAACAGGAATCAATTCTAATCTAAAAAAAACAGAAGGATGTGGTAGTGATGAAAAAGGGGTCCCTATGTCCTCCAGCAGTCTAAGCCTATAGCAGCAGAACTATAGAGATAGCTCAGGATAACCTGAGCCACTCTAACTAGAAGCTTTATCAAAAAGGAAAGTTTTAAGCCTAGCCTTAAAAGTAGACAGGGTGTCTGCCTCACGGACTAAAACTGGTAGTTGGTTCCACAGGAGAGGAGCCTGAGAACTAAAAGATCTGCCTCCCATTCTACTTTTAGAAATTCTAGGAACCACTAGTAAACCTGCAGATTGAGAGCGAAGTGCTCTGTTAGGAACATCAGGAATAAGTTGGGAATGAATTATTTAGCCTTCCTGATTGGCTGCTATGGCTATCACTAAGCTGAATGTCAGTTGTGTTTTTTAAGAAACTGTAAATATAATTTCTATTCAATTTAATTTTGTTTCTCATGGAGAGGGTTGCACAATGTTTTTAATGCATGAATATTATCAGTAATAATTATTAATTAATAATTCATCCTTATTAAAATTAATTATTCTTAGAAAATTAATAGTGATTAATGCTACTAGGCTTTAATGATGATAATCAACCATTATCTTTAATCTACAGTTAAATGTGATTATCTAAATGAGTTGTGAAACTGGGTTGAATAAACCCCTGTAAATGTTTTCATTTTAAATCGTAATTGGTAATTATTAATGATGTCATGTCTCCATCCCAGAATACAGCCAGAAAACTCTGCAGACAATATGTCCATACTGTACGTGCCCTAAGCTTTTAGTCTGGCAATTCATTCCCAGCAGAGATTAGATTTTAATGGCAACATAAAAGGTGGGATGAATACGTCTCAACCAGGAATCAGCCAAAGACGAAACAGGTGGTGACAAAGATCGTGATTCAGTGCAGCAGAGAGGAGCTTGACCAACAGTGTATAATTTCACTTGATGAAAGGAAATGAGTTTATCTCTGCATAAAGCTGAATCAGACAACATTAATATTCCACATTTCAAGGCATTTCTCTTGAGTTCAAACTTTGTTTTTCTGTATCCCTCTTTAGGCTGTGGACTTTGAAAAGGTAAAAACCATGGATCTGGGGTTAGTAGTACGGAACAAGGCTCCTCCGTTTGGATCCTCTGGAGGAGGGGCTAGTGGGGCTAGTGTGGGCTTTGGGGCTAGTGGGGGCGGTGGGGCTAGCGGGGGCAGTGGGAGTAGTGGGAGTAGTGGGGGTTTGGGGAGCAGTGGGGGAGGTGGGGGAGGTGGGAGCAGTGGGGGCAGTGGGGGAGGTGGAAGCAGTGGGGGTGGTGGGGGCAGTGGGGGTGGATCTGGAGGATCCAGTGGAACAGCTTTGAAGACCTATCCAATCAAAATCAACGTGAAGAACCAGCCGGACCCCCCACATTTTGATTCAGTTGCCAAAGCTATTCCAGTAACACGAAACCAGCCCTTCAGCATTATTAACATCGTTGCCCGTTATCCTGCAATAGATGGAGACACTGGGAATCCAGCAAAGAATGTTACGTAAGTATATACACTAACAAAATTAAGCTACATCTTTGGTCATTGACTCATCTAGTTATTTCTTTATATGCGGTGTAGGTATCTAAAAGCCAACGACCCCCTCAACTGGCTTAGCATTGACCCCCAGACAGCTGAGATCAAACTGACCAAGGACCCTTATAGCGACCCGTCTGCACGCCGTCTGGTCAATGGGACATATTTTGCTGAAATACTCTGCATCACAGACGGTACAGTTTTATTATTTAAGGTTTGATATATTTAGACACAACAGAAAAAGTTTAAATTGGTCAATAAACTGAGGTTAAGGTACTTGTTAATCAAATCAACCCACTATGAGTGAGGAGAGACATTTGGCAAAGGTCAGCAGGGCTGGGACTCTGCCTCCCCACCACTGCAGCACCCACAGTTCATTTTCACATCTATTAATGCTGCCAAGTTTATCCTTTTAAAGCTTAGCTAACCTGTTAACCTGTAATTTGCTCCTTATGTGCAGAAACTAAGACTTTTAATACGTAGATTATAAACATCTCTGATCCAAAAAACTCTCAACAGATTGACAGCTGCTGAACACAGTTTCAGTTGAAGGCAGTCGCTGGGAAACAATGTTCTATAACATTTAATTTGATGTATTAACAAAAAAAAAATACAATCAAATCTAGGTGAATATTTTCTGGGTTAGACTTTCAGAGATGAAAGCTGGTCTCAACCTTTATCTTTTCCAACCTTGGATCTTTTTGTCTTGATCTTGTTTTTTCATCAAGGCTGTTTTTGACTTTGCAGTTTTGTAAAACAATGTAGAGTAAAAAAAGTAAAATAATACTAATAGTATCTCCCTTGGTCTACACCTGCACCTGCTCTACACCCTGTGCAGGTTGCTCTATGTGCTCCGGTGGACCTGTAGAAGGCATTTGATGGTGGCCGTTGAGTTTCCCTGTGGGGTGCGCTCCAGGAGTCAGGAGCTCTTTACTGCAGGGCACACAATCTTTGTAGAAGTGGAGAAGGAGTTTGGTTGGAATCACCAGCATTAAGTTGGACCGGCCCTGCTCCCAGTGCATGTTGGACTCAAGCAGTGCTTGATGAACAGGATTTCTAGTTGAGCCAAGGACCGGAGGGAGTCTGGTTTGGGGACCAGAGGATTCATCCCTGCTAATGCAGATTTAGGGTTTTGCTGCTTCCCACCTGCCAAGACCCACAGCATGCACTGGGGAAATTGATAAGGAGCTGGGATAAAGATCAGCTTCACCAAGTTCGAGGCCGTGGTTCTTGACTGAAAAAGTTGGTTTTCCCTCTTCATGTTGGGGAGGTCCTGCTTCAAGGCGAGGAGTTCTAGTGTCTTGGGTTCCTGTTCATGATTGGAGGTTGAGGTGGATTCCAGCTTCATGGGGATGCTGCATCAGTCCACTGTGCTGAAGAGAAAGCTGAGCCAAAAGGCAAAGCTGTCTGTTTACTGTTGGTCTATGTTCCTCATGTGCTCAGGAAATCAGATCATGAACTAAAGATACTGAAATCAGCTTCCTCAGCAGGATGGCTGGGCTCTCCCTTACAGAGAGGGTGAGGAGCTTTGCCATCTGGGGAGGCTCAGAGCACAGCTGGTTCTCCTCAACATCAAGAGGAGTCAGCTAAGGTGGCACAGACATCTTCTATAGATGCCCTTTAATGCCTCCTGCTGAAGGAGGCCCAGAAGACGCCCAGGACATGCTAGAGACTTTGGCTAATCCCAAACCAGCCCCTATGTCTTTCACTATGAAGTCACACTCCAGCTGAGGAGGGCGCCTTGATTGATGCTAATGTGGAAGTAGGCTGCCCTCTTTCCTACACTCAAAAAGGAAAGCAGTTGTTGCCATGGCAACATGAAATGCCTCATGTGAGAGGCTCGAAATCAAACATTTAACCCTCTTTTGAAAATAAACTCATAAAATCATTTAAATCTGTTATTTTGACAAATATGCAGAGATTCAGTGGAACTTACAATTTAAAGCAGTTTTTCCTCCACTAGTAGGTCGCTGTTAGGCCCAATGCTAAGACTGACGCTACCTCCAACTGGTTCAGACGAAAATAGTTAAAGCAAATTTAATGACTAATCCAACTACAACCAACTGATTTCAATCTATTTCATGGTGTCATCATCATTTCCTGTGTGAAACTGACTTAATCGCCATCATGCTACCTGCTGATGAAAACATTAACATCTAACAGATTTTAAAGGTTTACTAAAAGAAAACATCTAATGTAATAGAATAATTGAATAAAACAGTTTCTGGAAGTTTGCATTGTATGAAACTGTTTTAGTTACTAAAATAGCATCAACTTTCTCCTTAAAAAAACAAAAAATGCTCATAATACAAAATGTGGATATTTTGTATGTGCAGGAAAACAGAACATCATTAGTGGGAAAGAGGTTCTGTCATTGTGTTAGTGAGATAGAAGGCCATCATAACCAACTTTGTGTGTTTACCCCCCCCCCACAGATATGCCGGCTAAAACAGCTACTGGCACTATAGCCATCGAGGTGCAGCCGTACAATGATCACTGCCCAAAGCTGACCACAGACTTAATGTTGATGTGCACATCAGAGAACAGGCTGATTGTTAATGCTGAAGATGAAGATGCATTTCCATTTGCAGCACCTTTTAACTTTAGCATTGACCCAGACGGCACACAGGGGAGCTGGCAGGTGAAGCAATACAATGGTAAGAAAATATTCTGAACTGAATCTCCAGAAAATGTGAATCATAGAATGCAGAAAATTTCTAATTTTTGATTTTATAAATTTAACTTGATGTAAAATTCACAAACCCAGTTTTGTTTAATGGAAGGCCTATAATTTTGAGAGGGGGGGGCTTTTAAAATAGATGAAAAAATCCTCTCAGGAAGGTTGGTATAGAAAAACAAAACCAAGTGTAAAAACAATTGTCGCTAAAAATCATAAATATGAGCTTGATAAAATGTAGTTCTCCATCATGTGACACAGTACATAGCATTCGTTAAATGACAGTAAAACATGGTGAACTGCCTAAAGAGAATCTACTACAACTCCATGAGGCTAGAAAATGACCATGATTCAGTTTAAAAGTGATAAAAATTTAGAGTCTGCTGGGGATCAATACATCTCAACCTCAACGGGCCGACAGAGAAGATGAGCTGATAGACTCTAAAGAAAAGGCTGCAGCTTAACTTATCATTAAGAGGGACGAGACGTCCAGTAGAAAACCCACCACATCTAAGGGGTGAGGTGGAGACTCGGAGAACATAAGGGTTAGCTATACCTAAAGGAGGATTTTATATATATATATAAAATAACATAGACACAGTGACGTAAATATTTACTCAGCTGATCATGGGCGTAGGTTTGCATAGGGACCATAGGGACATGTCCCTACCAATAATCTGACATGAGCAACATGTTTCTAATTTACTATCCGGCGTTGTTGCAACAGTCACATGTTTTCCTCTGGCAGCTTCGCTGCCTAGCAGCTGCAGCTCCATCCCTCTAACGTAGTAGCGCACGTCACTGTGCTTCGCTGTTTAACTCCACTCTCATTGCTTGTTCTGCCTTAAGTTCCGCCTTTTCTCTTTCTGATTGGCTGTTGTCTTGTCCGTGTGCTTGGAGTACAAAATTGAAATTATGCATTCACGCTAGAATACCGCGGTTACTACAATATTAGGCTATGAAACTAGTCGCAATAAAAAAACTGAATATCATGTACGCTATAAAACATAAACCTTTTTTTTACCTTTTTTCTTTAAAGAAGATTATTAATGACATTAAATCAGGTGAAACTAAAACATTTCCTTTTGAGTAGTTCTGGATAGTAGTTCTTTTTATCTTATATGCAAAATGTTTATATATATTTTTTTACAACCCACTTAGCTTACAGCCTAAGTGGGTTGCTCTGTCAGCGAAAGGCACATTTTACATTATATAATGTTTTATAGTCTCTATACTCCAGTTAATGATGAATTACTTGCTAAATTAGTTGACGAATATTAGAATTAATCATTTAATATGATAAATTTTTTCAGCCCCAGATAAAATACATGAAATGTGCGACACAGAGTAACTACAGCCCAGATGTTCAACTTTTATAGTGAAGTTAATATTTTAATTAATGTATTATTTTTGCTTCATAATGTATTACTTTTGCACAATTCTATATCTTCAAAAGAAAATACTGTATTTACCTTCACACAAAAACAATAAGTGCATCAATCCATCCATCCATTAACGATGCCCATCATTGCCGTTTCTCACAGAGACGGCAGCTATTGTGCAGACGATGGAGGACCTTTGGCCTGGTGTCTACAACCTGATGTTTGTGGTGGAAGACCAGCAGGGAAAGTCTTGCCCAGAATCACAACAACTGAAAGTCAGTGTCTGTGTCTGTAAGGATGGGGATGTCTGCATGAAACCGGATACGAAGTTAGGAGATGCAGGCATTGGCCTTCTTTTTCTGGGACTGCTACTTCTGCTTTGTGAGTACCACTGAGTTTTGCACACAGCTGCATGTATATATATATATATATATATATATATATATATATATATATATATATATATATATATATATATATATATATATATATATGTTTAAAGGCATCCATAGCCTAATGAATCTAGTCTATTAACCTAAAGCACCATGCATGGTCTGGTTGTTCCATGTCAGGTATGCTGGCTACCACTGCCCCTAGATCTATTGGCTAATTCAAATAAGCGAGGCTTCATGCTGGCAATGAATGAGTTAAACTATTCTAATAGGTGGAACTGAAGCTCCACTGATTGGATGACAGACATTCTGCAGGTCACACCTTACAGTCAGAGGTCAACCTTCGATTCATTTATGACTGTTGGCCGTCACATCTGGCGGTTCTTTCAAGATAATAATCTGAACATGTGTCTTAACCCTCTCAGGCTCAAATTAAGTTGTAGTTGCAGGAAAATCTGATATTTGGAGAAAATTATTATATGCGGTAGTAATAGACTTTTAGACTTTATTTGTCCCTAAGGGGAGATTCTTTTCCACATACACAGAGCTCTTTTATACAAAGAAATAAAAAAGACACCACAGTAAACACCAGCACAAATACAAGACGCGAAAGGAGACATGATACGAGACATGATACACTCAACGGGGCCTGTTGTTTGAAAAGGTGATGGCTGAGGGGATCAGGCTCCTGCCAAAACAGGCCCTTCTACACCTGAGTGCCCTGTACTTCCGTCCAGAGGGGAGGGGTATGAAGTAGTCCTGTAGTGGGTGAGTGGGGTCCCGTTCTATGGAGAGTGAAAAACGTCCGATGGCCTGTTGGTTTGTGTCTGTGAGGTTGGGTGTGGGGAGTCCAATGATTACCTTAACCCTTTGTGAGTATGGTTTTGTTTTTAATATACAATTCAGACTTTTTTTGAGACCTTCACATGCAATGAATTCTGGGAAGTTGCAGATTTGCAACAGTGGCCCGGAGTGGAAAATTAACACTGAAGACTGAATCTGATATGAACATTAACTTTGTTTGAATGTCATAAACAAAAAATGTACTAAACAAAAAAAAAAAAAAAAAAAATTCTCTCCCAAAATTAGAGGCAACTTTTTCTCAAACTTTTTCTCCACCGACATCTCAAAACCTCTTGAGAAGGCCGTTTCTGTTAAACTGGTGCTCAAAATATAGGCAAACTACTAGATAAAGCATGTAGCATCCATTGGTACCTGTTTGGGCACACGTTGCGAATCCACAACATTGAAATCGAGATGCCTCTGGTGAAAAACCCAGAGGAGATAAAATCTACTAATTGGCATGTATCATATCTATACACATTCATGCTTCATCTTATGTAGTATTGATTTAAAAAAATGGAAATTGGTAGCCATCTGCTGAGGCCCACTGGGGTTCAAGGAGACAGAAGTTTCCTCCTCTGCTCTCACCAGCATCTTCTAGATCCTGGCTGTCACCTAGCAACACAGCAGCGGTCTACAGATTAATTTAATGTTCGATTCAAAACCAAAATGCAGATTGTGAATGTTCAGCCGCGCCTGTAAACTCTAGACTAATTCTCGGTTGTCATGACAACTTTAGAGACAGAAAAATGTTTGCGGTTCAAACTAGTTTACCCAGTTCTGCATGCTATCACTATGTCCAGAGATTAGGACTTCTACATATTTGGTGACACAATGTTAAGCTTATAAAGGGTAATGTCTACTGACTTATCTGACGCGTTAGATTTTGCCTTCTTAATTTGAACTCAAGTCCCTCAAATCGGGTTTCTTTGCCCCTTGGCCGTGATGCTGATCAGAACACCGTCACCTGCTCCGCTGACTTCACCACTGAGGTTCCCTCTGGGTCACCCTAAGTTGGTCAGGTTACTCGTAAGCGCATAGCCCACCAAATGTTGAAAGAGCGATAGTATTGCCATTATTGTTAATATACAATAGAAATTCACACAATTAGTGATAAAATGTCACAGGGGATGGTATTGGGGGGGTGGTCATTTAATAAGGGAATGCAACCTCTCATCATTCCTCACCACCGCTCATCCCCCCTCTTCCCCCCATCAACTCGATTACCGGTGCAAAGGAACAAAGACTCTCATCTGATTAGCTCAAAAAAAAAAAAAAAGTCCAATGTTTTGTCTTCTCTACTGGAGCAACTGGAAACTGCTGAAACTGTGGAAGAGCGTAAAGTTGGATTAAAATCATTAAATATGGACAGAAATTAACTTTTGTTAAATAGTATGAATGAAAACAGGGAGCCTGCAGTTAAATGTCCTTGTTTAGCTGGATTAGCTTGTGTTGCACAGCTAATCCACCTCCTTTGCTTTTATTAGAGATATGATTTATTTTAAAACTGTTAGTTTTCTCTCAGATAAATATGTTAAATTACTTTTCTTCCAGTGATTCCTTTGTTGATGTTCCTCTGCCAGTGTGGAAGTGCTGCTAAATATAAGGACCTCTTTACTGATGTGCCTTCGACAAAATCTCATCTCATTCACTACGACACTGAAGCCCCCGGAGACAATGTGGTGAGACAAACATTTTTAGATATTTTCAGTGTTTTAAAGTTAATGACCTGATTTGACAGAAAACATAAAGATTTTGCTCCAATAATTGTTGCGTTGATCTTTTGCAGGAAGCTGCTGCTTTGCTGAACTTTCCAACACAGAATATAAAGGGTGTGGATCTACAATATGTAGAAGCTCTGCCAGGGGCTGGATTTGAAATGCAGCAATCGGTGGCTTCCATGAATCAGGGCATGTTCCAAGGTGTGTCCTCAAATGGCTTCAGAGACGAAATGGGGATGAACATGTGGGAAGGCAGTGGCTTTGAGTCCGAAACTCGAGAGTCAAGAGGATATCATGACTTGGCTTTACCAGACAGCTTCCTTTCACTCTACTACATCCAGGTGAAACCTCATTTTCTATTGAAAATATAAATCATGTCAGTTTGATTGAAATATTTGTGCATTCTCTGCTGCTTTGGTCCAACATGTGGTGTTTCTGTTATATCAATGCAGCCATTGTAATGGAAGCTGTGTTCATTCATGAAACTTAGTGGCTTTGGTAGCTGAGCACAGAGGTAACTGTAACTGTAAAGTGCTTTTGAGTCTCCTGGCCTTTAAAGGCGCTGTATAAATATATAAGAGTATTTACCATTTAGCAGCATTTGATTTTCATTTGCTGGAAGGTTAAAGATCAGAGGAGTCTGCTAATCAAGGTACTTATTAAACAAGCTGTTAGCAGGGAATTAATTGCCATTTTATTTATAAAAATAATGTAGGATCACAATTATCAGAAAAATTAGGATTGAATTAAGAGACAAACTATAGGAAAAGTAAATAAGCAGATTGATCCCAATAGAGATTTATTTTCTGTTAGTTGAGTGACAGATGAAAACAATCGTTCCCCCAATCTCTGTTTTTAACTAATGTTAAAGATGGCTTCGTCATTAAGGAACTATTTTAGAGTAAATCTTTGTTATTCTTTTTTTTTGCTTTATTCTGATAACTGACTAACTCTTCTTTCAACAACAGAAGACCAGTGGAGATGAGAACGTTGAGATAACAGATACCCAGCTGGTGTACGACTATGAGGGCGAGGGCTCCCCTGCTGGCTCCGTGGGATGCTGCAGTCTTCTGGATTCAGACAATGACCTGAGTTTCCTTGATGATTTTGGACCGAGGTTTAAAACGCTTGCTGAAATATGTGGTGGCAAAATAGTCCAATCTGAGACGACGACACAAGCGGAGACTCCTCTACCTAATGTTCCTGTGAGCAACGTTCGAGTGTCAGAGCCAGATTTGTTGACCAGCCAAGAGTTGTCCCATATGTCCATTGTGCAGTCGGCCAACTCCAGAACCGAGCAGAGGTTAGCCAGTGAAAGAAGGGAGCAGTCTGAGATCAGGGAGAGCAAGGCCGCAGTGAAGGAAGGGATGACCTCAGTGCAGGCAGGGATGGCGCACCAGAACCAGATGGTAGTTCTAAACCAACAGCAACCCGTCTACTTTACCACCGCGCCTATGATGCAGCCCATGCACTATGTTGTTCAGCAGCCCCTTCAGAATGCAGTGATACTAGCTGAGGCACCTGCCTCCAGTCTTCAGCACATGGTAATGGTTAATGGCACTGATATCGCCTCATCCCAGGGAGTTATTGTTCAAGGTCAGACAATGATGCCCAATGTACAAACCCAGAGCCTTGGGGCAGTGCTGGTTGACAGCAGGGGGAACCAGGGAACCACTGGGAACCTGATCTCTGGCTCCCAAAACATGATGTTTGTTGAAAGCAATGTCCCTGCTGGATCTGTAAAAGTACTAAACGGTAACCAGGTTAGCCTTGCTCAGGGTGGTGCGACACTAAACGGGTTGTCAGGATCTCAGACAATCATTAAGAAGCGGGAGTCAAACAGCAGAGGGCAGCAGAGTCAGGGTGGAAAAGGTTCTTTCCAAAAGTCTAAAGTCTCTGGTGTTCAAAAGGTTCATGTGATCAGTGGTGCATCCGGCGGCTCTGAGGGAAGCACCTCTTCTTACACCCTTACTACATCCACCAACAATGGAGTAGTTGTTGGGCAGAAGCACAGAGTAATGAACTAGAGACGCGGCGTCTACTGCAGGAAAAAATCACCTATGGTGTGGTCTAGGGTGATGGGAGCTTATCTAAAGCAGGTGTTTGGGTTAAGCAATAGTTCCCAAAGGTTTTAGTGCAGTTACCATTTGTTCTTATGTCCTGTAAAGTTAGCTGAAACTGCACAGGCTTTGTTTGGGCATAGCTTCTACGTTCCCATGGCCTAAAGATGCCTTGGATTAAAAAATAATGAGAAGTTTCTACTATGGCCCTTAAATTTGCCTGACCTACAGTAGATAGATCCAGAACGTATAGATACAAACAGCTGATCATAGAGGTGACCTGGAATTACTTTAGGGTTAGGATTCACTCGATGATAACAACCTACTGAGCCTAATCTAGAGCCATTCTATGGGACTGATAACCTCTAATAACGACCATTTATTGGGATGATATAATGTTGCTGCAAACAGTGCAACAACAGTGTAAAAGAAGACGGTATCAACCTGAGGATGAACCCATGAGATGATGAACTGGTTCTACCTGTTAGAACTTTTTTATTCTTCATCTTCACCTGCTGACAGATAATTTCACCTAAATAGATACATTGATCCACTACCATTCAAGAATTAAAACAAGTAATATAACCCGTCACAACAGTCTATGGCAAGCCGTTTTGACATGAATTTGTTTTACTGAACATGTATTCCTGATATCTAAAAAAAACTTTTTTTATTCTCAGGATGACCATTTTAAATAAAATGGCATTCTTCACATCTATAATAAACATTCTGAATGTCTAGAAATTAATTATATATCTCTATATTCTTATTGTTAGTGATCAGCATTTGTATTATTTTGACTATAAAGAAATCTATTTCCGATATCATAAATAAATACTCAGTCAAGCTTATAAATAACAGATGACCACTAAAAATGTGTAAACATTTCTAGATATACAAAAATTCATCCTTAATAGTATAATTCAGTTTTTTACTTTCTGAAATACAGTTTCTGCAGTGGCCTTCATATAAACTCACACATTAACTCGACCAACAATCTTCTCCGTCGCCATCTTCCTCAGCTGTAGAGCTGTTTCTCTTTGTCTCTTAAACACATTCTACATTTATTTTGTTTTATTTCCTCATTAAAATCCCTAGTTCCAGTGGGTTGAAAAAGGCACTTCCTGTTTCCTGTCATCATGGTGACTCGTTGAGTCAGGGCTACACTGAGCCACTCCAGTGGCTACTGTGAAATGAAAAACTCAGAGTTTGTTAGGCTCTTCTTGTGTTTTAAGTTTTTAAATTGCATTAAAAAGAAAATCATAATCTTGCCTAAAATCCTGAAATAATGCGTCTGATTTAGCTTCAGGCAGAAATGCAACTTCTAGCACAAAGTAACGAGACATATTAAACCCCCCCAGGTAGCTGAGTTTATTACTGATCAAATTAAAGCTTTGTCTGTTGTGCACCTTATTAAACACCCGGCAGGTTTTAGAAATTCTCTTATGTATTCCTGCTGAAAATAAAGGTAACTGCAAAGAGCTGATTCCAGCTGCTTAAGCCGTTTTATCACAGCTACTGTCTGATATTTGCTTCGAGGAAATGGAACGCTGTCACCACTTGTCCCCACAGGGTAACACACACACACTTAAAAGAGGTCAAAAATGTTATCTTTAAAATGGCCATTTTATTATGCTCACTAAAATTGTGAAATCCGTTTCCTGTTCACGGGTGATAAGAATATTTCTTTGTGTGTAATAATTCTTCTCATCCTAAACACTTAATTATTGAAATGTTTTTTTTTTCCTTTGAAAAAATTGTTAAAACGTATTGATAAATGTGAGGCTTTAAATGAAGAATTGTATGTCTGCTACTTCTGGTTGCAGCTAAAGTTTGATAAGTTTGAGAATAAAGAAACATTATTTAATTGTGGTTTTTTGTTGATAGATTATTATTAGTACTATAATGCTTTAGTCAAGGGAAAATAAATTATCAGTTTAAATATAATTCTTTTCTCAGCAAGATGATTTAGTTTTGTTGCTCCTACAGACAGACCAACCAAGTATGGTCGGAAGGGTTAGGGTTTCTCTTATTTCATATATCGAGTTATGCTGTTTATCCATTGAACAATGTTTTTACTCAGTCTGTTTCACCTGCAAGGCCACACAATGCCTGAGTAAGGAGTGTTTGCATAAAAAAATATACTGTTAGCATAAAAAACAGATTATTTCTCAAGGTTTATTCATAACATGTTACTGTTTAACCAAAGTGTCTGTAATTAGTTTAAACTTTCCGTTGTTGTAAATAAGCGGAAACGAAGGCTGCCAGAACAGGGCTGATTTAAACATTAAAAGCTTTAATTCTTAGTTCTGATGAAAATGAAAAAAAGAGTTGATATCTCTCCTATCCTGGCTTCTCTTCATTGGCTTCCTGTTAAATCCAGAATAGAATTTAAAATCCTCCTTCTCACATATAAAGCCTTAAATGGCCAAGCTCCATCTGATATCAGAGATCTGATTGTTCCTGATAATCCAATAAAAGTACACAGAACAATACTTAGAATATAACTTACTTCCGAAGGTTTGTAACATCTGCCAACTTTTGTTTCCTGGTTCCATGTTTTTTGTTTTTTGTTTGGGCCAAAATGTTTTAAGCCGTTTTTAAAAATAAATATTTGTCCTGCAAAGTTTTAGTTTTGGATACATGTTTGGATTTCCTGTGAATGTTCACAATAAATGTTTACACAAACACTGATTGAATTTATTTACAGTACTTTATGTAAATTATGAACTGTATTTTCAGGACTTTTAGTAATTTGATTTATCCACAGCTGTGTTGTGCGTGTTGCTTTTGCATTTTGCAACATAACCCATTACATCAGGTGTTGTGCTCTCTTTATTTAATGCTTGTTCTTTAAATGGTACAGCCACCACAAGCACCCAGTAAAGGATGAGAGTAGAGCTTCAGGTCCAAACTTTCTTTAATAGAGCTGAGAGTGGTCTACAAGATATACAGAAAAAGGAAAACAAATGGAAACTATAATTTTCACTCGCTATAAATAGCTATTTCTAATTTTTCCAGCAGGTGGCAGCAAGAGACTACAAATTAACCACAAACCATATTATCATCTTAACTGTTTAAATTGATATATATATATTTAAGCTGCACATACAAATCTTGCTGGTGTACTGACAAGCTTGCTTTTATTCACTTACACGCTCCCAGTCTCTTGAACAAACGGCTCTAAACGGTTTCCAACGATTACTTTGTCAACTTTCCGCTAATCTAACACTGAACACATGCTCTTACAACAGCAATGGCTATTGGTAGCTTGAGATTACAATGAACCAATCACAGCAAACTTTATTCAGACCGCTCCCTGAGCTCTTAAAATGAAACACACACAGTTATATTAGTCCATTTTCCCATCAGGACTTAAATGGATAAATGTTGTCATAGGAACATTTAGTTTTCTGCATCAGTTTTCGTACATTAGAAAGGAGGGGAGAAAAAAAAACGTAGTTTCAAGTTTAACACTTAGAATGCATATTAATGTCTCTTAATAGAAAACAACCAACTCAGTTTAAGACATTTGGATCCGTAAGATGGCAGGCTCTTTCCAGTCAATACTCACAGTAATGTTCTAATGGCATCTCTCAGAAAAATATACAGTTTCACAGAATCGTATAAATCTGATGGTGTCATTAGGCCATACACTGCCATTAAAACATTGCAAATGTCATACACAGCTGAATCGCATGGTGTGGTCTGACGAAAGGTTTATGCATCTCTACACAGTTGAATATGATCAACTTGAACAGGAGTGAGGAAGTCAGTAGTACTGTACAGTTCAGGTATAGCATACATCACATTGGGCCTTCCGCTGGGAACTTGTAAGTTTTTTGATGGCCTGATGTGGTGTGTGTTCCCTACTTGTGCTGTGTCATCCAGCTCATCCTGTAAAAGATAAAACGGAAAAAATGAGCAGACTTTTGTTAACCTGAGCTGGAAAAAAGGATTAGGTATATTCATTGTCCTTAATTGTTAGTCATTATTTTATGTATTTCTTTTTTTATGTAGCAATCACAACAATGAAGTCATCAAAGAGGAATAGTGGAGAACGATCATTGCATTTTGGAAGTCAAGTAAATTGTAATTAGAGTGATTTCTTAGGTAGTTTGATTTATGGTGTAGGATCACAATCTCTCTGTGCGGGACTTTCACCAGGAGAAGACAGGTGAAATGTGCTGGCTACAAATTAGAAATTTTATTATAAACATTGTGAATAAAAAATATTCTTGCATTTGTTGCTCTTTTTACTGTGTATTACAGAAATATATTTTTTGTGATGCATCTTAGACTGATTGATTTTTAAAATTACTTTGGTATCTTATGATAGACTGACTGTGACACAGAAACTTGATGCCCATTTAAACGCCTACTATTGAGTTAAAAATTGTTCACTTTTGATTTTGGTTTTACAAATAATGGCAAATTACATTGAATGTATCTTAATTATAATAGAGGTTAAAATGCAGCTGCCAAAATGATCTCTTGTTGCTGTGATAGTGTAAAATCTCACACTATAACAGCAAGTTACCTGCTCTTTCTTGTTATGACATTAAGGTAGAAAAAGTGACCAGTGCATTTTCAGCACCACAGATGTGTGAACAGCGGCAACAAAAAACAACTAGAGAACCGCTTTCTTTCATTATAACATAATTTTCCACAGATAAACGCAGAGAACAGAGACATGTACTTCTCTTTGTAGAGACATATGTTGTCGGAAAATGTTTATCTCTCTTCTATTATATATTAATTCATTATATTTACTCACTATAAACGTTTTCAGTATGTTTCACCTTGAAGGCCACATCATTCTCTGCAGGAGGGTGATCAGACATAGCTTCTTCCATGACAAACCAGATTCTTTTTCAAGGTTTATTCATAACATGTTACTGTTTAACCAAAGTGTCTGTACTTAGTTTTGACTCTGACTACTTTTGCATTGTTGTAAGTAAGGAGGAATGAACGCTGCTCAGGCAGCACAGGGCAGAATGCTGCCATAAGGGCTGTATGATGAACTGTTCTCTATTTGCAAAGATATGAATAAATGTGCCGACTGAGTGAAATCCGTCGATCTCCCTTTATTTAACTAGGATGAATAGTTGAATACTTTTTTCCCATGACATATATCACTTTAGTTTATGGGTGTGCGCTCGTCGTGCATTATTTCCATGTTCATTACAAGTTAATGATGTCATAAAAGTATACACCTACATGACAAAATTGAGTGTGCGCAATTTTTGTACAACCAGAATACCAGACAGCGAATGCCACAAATAACCAGTGGCACCTCGCCCAGATACCATTAACGCTGATTTTATTATTCATGTCTTTCAGAACTCCTTCCCTACGTCATTGTTGGGATCTGGAGAAGTTCCACCTTTCTCCAGCAGAGTCCGCCGTGGATCCTCCTGAGCTGAGCCTTCGACACACCTGAGGCGCATCTCATCATCAGAGGATCCACCAGTATATAACCTGCCTTCAGACCTTGCCTCAACGCAGCAGTGTTTATCCAATTTGGTTAGCACCTGAGCCTAGCTTCTTCTGAGAACCTTTGTTGCTTCTTGATCCCTGATTGGATTCTAATCCCTGTTTGTCTCTGCTTTCAGGAATCCAGTTTCCCTTGTAAGCTCTGGATAAGCTTAACCTGCCGAGCCTGCCCTCTGAGCCAAACCTGAAGACTCTTCTCTGGATTCCCATGCAGCTCTGGACTAAGAGCTGGAAACCCAAAGCCAAAGTCTGCCCTCACGCTAGAAGTAAGACGCTGAAGCGGTTATCGGACTCTGCTGAACTAAATAGTCTCTGGACCCAACAGTTCCTCTCTCAAAGCCAAACCTGGACTCCTCAAGGTATAAACCTGAAACTCTCAAACTCAAACTCATCTGCTCCCAAGCTAACTGAACTGTCATCCTCACAGACTCCAGTGAACCAGCCCCCAGGCCTGAACCAGTTCCTGTGTTTATTCCATGTGCTTGTGCACGATAAAACTTGTTAAACTTTCCATCTGTTTCCATGGTGTTCTGCATACTGGGCTTTTCTGAAACCCATCATGACAGAACACTGCGGCCAAACACAAGGCCCAGCAGATCACCTCCGTCGTCGGTTGGAGGAGCAGGAGGCTCAAATCCATGGACACGCTCAGGCTCTTCGTGAGTTAAACACCAACATTGAACTACAGAACCAAATGATTCAAAGCTATGCTAACTACATGGGCAGTGCTAATGCCATGCCGGCAGCACAACCATTTCCGGGTCCAGTTCCACCTCCGAGGTCACCGGCGGTGACGTCATCACCTGAGTTCCGCCCTAGTCTCCCTGAAAAGTTTTCAGGTAATATGAAGGACTGTAAAGGATTTTTGTTTCAATGTCGTTTAATTTTCCAAAACTCTCCTGGCAGTTTCCCAACGGATCAAAAGAAAATAACTTTTATTCTGTCCCAACTGACTGGAAGAGCCCTTGAGTGGGCGGAGGCAAGATTTGCCTCCGAAGAAAGCCTAAGTTGTCAATACACTGATTTTGTTTCTGAATTCTCTCAAGTATTTAACCAAGAAACTGATCAAACCATTGACTCTCGTGCTCTTTTGAACCTAAGACAGGGAAATTCTTCTGCAGCGGATTTCTCCATTAACTTCCGGGTCAAAGCCGCAGCTTCCGGATGGAATCAATGTGCTCTAAAAAGTGCATATTTCATGGCTTTAAACGAAAGCATCAAAGATGAACTAGCAACCCTCGACGAACCTGCAACTCTTGAGGAATTAAACCGCCTGACAATTAGGCTGGATAACAGGATCCGAGCTAGAAACAGCTCCAAACCAAAGAATCAAGGTTTTTTGTCTCTGCATCTAATAATGTGACTGTTTTTTCTGC